GAAACAAAGAATTGATTCAACGGAGCAGCTGCCTTCCAGGAAGGAAACTTATAAAATTATGGTCACAACAGAAGTTATGGGAAATGCTCAGCAGGTCTGGCAGCATCTGTCAAGAAAAAAAAATCAGAGTTAACGTTTCGGGTCCGGTGACCCTTCCTGAGAACCTCAGTTACATTGTGTATGTCTCCACCAAAGCTGCTGATGTCAATGTAACTGAGGTTCTCAGGAAGGGTCACCGGACCCGAAACGTTAACTCTGATTTTTTTTCTTCACAGATGCTGCCAGACCTGCTGAGCTTTTCCAGCAACTTCTGTTTTTTTGTCCATGATTTACAGCATCCGCAGTTCTTTTCGTTTTTATAAAATTACGGTTCCTTCAGATGAGTTAATGGACCAACACAAACAAAAAAAAAGTACTTCCTGAGGGCTGTCTGAGCAATAAAAGATCTTTCAGCAGAGAAACCATCCACAAATCTCAACCAAGGTCAACTGTTGGCAAGCCAGAAACCTACCATTCTTTTAAGTCCCAATATAATGCATTCTGAAGGGGCTCATGTTCATGTTACGTTGTTTCCACCAAATCCACTGATGTTATAAACAGTCTGTGGATGGAAACAAAGGGCTGAATCTTACCAGAAATTGGCTTTTTTTTTCCTTCTGTTGCATGTTTCATGGAGGGCTTGCCTCATTAATTAAGGACCACACCCCTATGCCACCTTTCTATCATATTCACACACTTGTTGCAGGTAGAATTATATGCCACTGCTGGAATAATCCAGAATTTCTGGTGCCCCGGTCAAGCATTGGCCGTGCAGAATCGTCCTTCACCAGGCACATAGTAGGAGTACGACCACAAACCAACGGAGGTCATCCTTGGCAGTGGTGAGTCTCAGGCTCAGTCTGGTAATCAAGGATTCCGCACCCCACTCCCCCACCCTGATTTCCTTCCGCCTGGCACTTCCTGGCCAGCCCACCACTACTGATCTTATACAGACTCCAACATACCAGTTGGATTTGTGTTCAACTGTAAACGTTATCTGGGTCCAAGCCTTACAGTTCAGTTATGCCTACCGTCATACTGCACGGTCTCCCATTGAGGCCAGAGTGGTGGTATCTGTCGTCACCTCCCTTTCCCACAGTATCCCATGTCCTCCAATGCACTATCATTTCCCCACATTCTATGTTAGCCATCCCCTATTCATAATTCTTGTCTCCTCTGCATCCCAGCTTACTACCACCAATTTCCCAATTTAAGTTTGTCAGGTCGGTCCCTTGATATACTCCATTGAATTTCACTGAGCTGGAATTGACCATGACCCACTCCGACTGATTTGGACAAACAATCCCAACTGATGAGTGACTGGACTCCTGATTAATCTCTGCGCAGCTCCCCAACTCATGACTAGAGTCACCAGCTAACCTCTCTGCCTTTCATGTTGAGAATTATCACTGTCCTGTTTCTATCCAGCAGAAGACAGAATGGGCAATAGAGTAGAAATGAGATATTAATACATGCAAATTGGCCTCTTGCCACTCACCAGTGAGAAAAGCGTCTCACTGTTCAACACTTAGCTGGAAAATGGAGCTTTTGCTCTCAATATCGAGACTCCTCTCTGACCATCTCACAACTTTTCCCAACTTGCACACCAATGCCCTCAGTATTCAGGTCTGGGAAGATTGGAGTTCCACTCTACTCTTTGGAGGGAGCAATATATCTCCATCAGCTCTCTAGGGTCCTTGTTACTGAATTGAACTGTATCACTCGTCATGCAACAAACATTCTTGTTGTCTAAGGACACTGACTCTGCTTTAGATGCTCTATGGTGGTGTATCCTGTACCACCAATCACAAGGTAGGCCCGAGTCAAAGCAAAATCAAAGAACCATTGGTGGCAGTGAACTACCTCAAACTATCCTCTTCCAGTGTTACAAATTGTTAGACACAGTAAAAGCTACAAGATATCATGAGTGGTCATCTAGGGAAATACCATAGCTTTCATCACTATCAAGTAGTTCTATAGATCTGCTTCACCTAAAAGTGACGTTAGTCTCCCCACCCCAGATCAGACCCTGTGCACAGTTTCCTCACCCCCAGGCTAATTTTGTGCTTAGCCTTCCAGTTCTGAACTGACTGTACAACTCGAGTTCTCACGTACAATATCAATGGAGATGCATGCATTTAGCTACTTCTTTAGTTTTAAAATCTTTATTTTGATAAGTACATAAAAATCACAGATCGCAGTCAATCTCGAAGATTCTTCATATTAAATCACAACATCAAAAAAATTAAGACTTTTCAGGGTGCTAAAATATGTTTCTTTCATATATTTTTGCTTTGATTTGACCAGATAAACAAGATTATAAAACTGATCTTTATTGTTCACCAGCTGTTATTTAGTTGTGAATCATAATTCCGTTATAAATTGAGTGTGTCTGTCTAACGACAGTAAGCGCAAACTATCCTGTATTATGTTATAAACCATTGCTTTTTCAGTTATCATTGGAGAATAATTTGGTATTTCTATCTCCATCTATTTAGTCTGCAAAGAATAGTGTGCATTTATTCATGTGTCTATTCGTGACCTCTCATTTACAATGCCTTTAACAGCAAAAAATTTCAAAAATGGTAGCTCAGGAAATGAACTAGAAAAAGTTAATTATACCATTCTGTGTGCATCCATATGTTTTTTTTTGTCTCTCTCTAAAAGGGGAGAATAGACCACAGCAGAATAGTCCACCCTGAACTGTTTTTCACAAACGCCTTTACCATTTCTACCTTCAGAAAACAATGCCTTTTGATAATACTGCAGACCTTTGTACTTAGCTGCAGCTTTGTGTTTGCTTTCTATTTTGGTCCGGAGAAGAGATAATCTTGCAGAGCTGCATAAAGTAGAGAACATAAATCTGGACTGCTTTTTCAGATTACACCATGACAGGTTCGGACAAAAGGCAGACACCAAACAGTTCATCGCATTGGAAAGAATGTAGAATGCACTTTGAAGTTGACAGAGGCAAAGAAATAGTTAAGAAAAGGTTGAAAGTTGTGATGGGAGCACTGCAGGTTAGTTCTGGGTGGATGGGCTGCAATTGGTCCATTGATATTCAGCATTCGTTGCAGCTCAATAGAATTTATTTAATAAAAGTCAAAGATTTCGTATCGCCTGCATGCCCTATCGTATTGCCTGCATGCCCTAAAGTAGTCATAATATCATAAGTTACTAGGTTCAGTTCCTGAGTTATGATGAGTTAGCAGTGGTTATTAAAGTCAGCTTTGCAGCAGACTGGGCTGTGACAGCTCCCCTGTTGAGCCTGATACTAAGTGACAGTCTGGCTGGTAGCTTTCCTTCCTTCCTTAAGACTCCAGTAAATGGTTATCATCATAGGGTTGGAGGTCACATTTTACTTTAATTTGGATACTGAATATATCCTCCTTCAGAATACTGGATAGGTCAGTACAGGCTAGAATAACTCTGGACTTAAGAAGCAATTAGATATGGAAGGTAGAGGGGGAAACAAATCAATTTGAGCTGTTCCCTTGATTAGTGGATCAGTGACCCTGATTGAAAGTAAGTGTGTGAATGTTCACTGAGGGTATGTCCAGTCCTTCAATGACCTTCTCTACAGCTTAGTAGTCTGGTGACTATCTGTTTTGATTTGTTATTGGTCTACTACCATCCGATGGAGTCACCCCCATCACATTCAGGGAAACGTGAGGAAGACAAGTTGGTCTTTATTTCAAAGGGAATGGAATGCTTTAAAAAAAAGGGGGGAGCCTTGCTAAAATTATATAAGGCACAAGTTAGACCGCACCTAGAATACTGTGAACAGTTTTTCATGTCCTTATTAAAGGAAAGATATTCTGGCATTGGAGGCAGTCTGGAGAACGTTCAGTAAGTTGATCGAGGTGTGGGGATATTGTCTTACTAGGAAAGGTTAAGTAGGTTTTGCTTCTACTCATTGGATTGTAGAAAAAACGAGGAGACCTATTGAAACAGAAGGTAGTCAAGGGGCTTGACAAGGTAGATGTGGAGAGGTTGTTTCCCCTTGTGGGAAAGTCTAGGACCAGAGGCATAATCATAGAGTAAGGGGCACCCGGTAAATGAAGAGAAATTTTCTTCTTTGAGGCGGAATGAATCTTTATTGCGGAGGGTTGTCAAGTCTGGGTTCTTTAGTATTATTCAAGTTTGAGATAGACTGATTTTTACCAGTAAGGGACTCATGGCTTATGGGGAAATAGCAGATTAGGTGTGGTCTCATTGAATAGTGGAACAGACTCAATGGGCTGAATGGCCTTCTTCTGCTCCCACATTTTATGGTCTTATGGTTTAAAGTGGCAGAGCTAAAACAAAATTGTAGGTTCTTGGTGAGCGAGGAGTTTGCAACAAACAAAGCTTTAAGAAAAAGATGGGAGAGAGGTAATCATTTCATTCTGCTATGAAATAAGATTTATATTCTACAGCAGTTTTCACTTTTACCACAATTGGCTACACGCCTCATCTTTTACCTTACTTTAAAGGAAAGACCTGCATTTTTTTGTAGCAATCTTCATAACTTCAGGTTGTTCCAAATCACTTTCCAGCCAATGGAGTGTGTTTGAAGTCAAATAGTGTTGGAAACACAGCAGTCCATTTCTGCACAGCAAACTCTCATAAACAACCATGCAATAAACTAACAGATCATCTATTTTAGGTGCTGGGTGAAAGACAGATATTAACCAGGGTGGTGGGCACAAACTTGCAACAGTGCGGCATTTCCCCAGAACTGTGCTGAAGTTTAACCTGAATTCTGTGCTCAGCTCTCAATCCTCGGACTCTGAAACGAGGGTCCCAACCACTGAGCTGTGGCTTTGCCCTTTATCCCACATGCCAGAAGCTGAAGCTGTCGTTGTGCTATGGATAAATGACCGCTTTTAGCCAAGTAAGAGTCTATGACATTTTATACTCTTGTCTTATTTCTACTTCCTTATAACTAATGTGACACTGTTTCTGTTTCCTAATTTCAGGACAGCCACACAATTCTATTCCTGTGTGACCTGCACATCCATTTCCCCATCAGCATCATAGACAATATTAGAAAGCATTGTATAGAAGGGAAACTGGCATATGCCCCTATTGTGATGAGACTGAGCTGTGGCAGCTCCCCTGTTGAGCCTGACGGTGAGTGATATTCTGACAAGTAGCCCTCCTCTGCCTGAAGCAGTACATGATTATCAGCAAACGGTTGGAAAACAAATTTTACTTTAATTTGGATACTGAGTACATTCTGTTTCAGATTTCCGGGTAGGCCAGATTTCTAGACTTGTTTAAGGAGCAATTAGGTGTGGAAGATCCTATGATCTCTACTTGAATGATAGTTGGGAGCATGTTTTTTTTTTAAAAACAGTTTCACTCGCAGAAAGTTTTCCTACAAATTGACCAGTTCAGGGCCATCAAGCATCAGAGAGTTATTTTTACTCTTGCAATATCCTAGCCGGGCCATATATCCTGGGACTACTTGTAGTTGCCACATTCAGGACCTTCAAATGCTCACTGGCTGGTGGAAATCTTCCATGACTCAGCTTATGACATAGCCCTAGTGATCATGAGAGCCCTTATGGCCATTCTTTTACGACCCCGTAATAATACATGGGTGTGTTTGTGTTCTTGGTGTAATTGGAGATCTTGCCTCCAAAGAAACTGAATGCTTGGCAAATAGAGCCAGCCTAGCCTACAGGGCACGCTACTATTGAGGGATGATGCTGGAAATGAGCTCAAGGATACATCAAACCTATATATTAGATTGATGTACTTAAGTGCTATGTTTCAAATTTGGAATATTTTCTGCTAAAGCAAAAGTATCGTTCCCCAGCAACAGAGGTTGGTGTCTGCGATTGAAGATCCTTCGATCTGCCACTTTGTAATGCAGCGTTTATTCTAGCTGCAGAATTGTAATATTACACATTACAATGAGGCGGCAGTTTTCCACGACCAATGGCTGATTGCCCTGCATTTTCCCACCTTTCTCTTGCAACCTGTAACTCTCGAATTTCCAGACAGACAGATCAAGCACTGCTTTATGGCTCTAATTGCAGGTTGGCAGAAGACATTGCTAAAGTGAAAGAGCCATTTTTCTGAAGCTGTTTCAATACCACAGGATTAGACACACAACAGACACAATTGGGAGGGAGAATTCCTTCAGCTACTTTTCCAATGAACATACTGATGTCAGTGTAGTGTCACCCTCGTGATTTCCATTTGGTGCCATCTAACCTTTACATCCTTGGTAGTAAATAAAGATGTGAGGGATGGTGTGAGTTCATTTATTTTCAAAGTTTGAAATGCTTGAGATTTGCAAACGTTCAGCCAGATATAACCCAAAGGGAAAGGCCTACTGTAACATCCAGCCACACGAAACAAGGTGGTTCCTGTTCTTACTTCCCCCATCTATGTTGGCATATGGGGGGGGGGGGCATGCGCGTACTGATCCAAGGTACATATGGTGATGGCTATCCAAACAACTTTTGTTTAAAAGGTGCTCTTATGGATGCTGGGTGAGGGCAGGATCACTTGGCCTTGGTTTCCACATACTCAAGCAGTCTGTTCAATTTCCATGCCAAAGCTCTCACACAACGGCCAAATTCAGTGAGATATATTGGCACAAGTAGAACCTTTATCGTCAGTAAGGTGTCTAAACCTTCAAGAGAAAACTGGAACAAACAGAAGTGGAAGGTCTACTTGACATACAGGGATAACGGGGTCTGCAGTGGTACAAGAAGGCAGCTCGCCACCACCTTTAAGGGCAACTAGGATGGGCAATAAATGCTGGCCAGCCAGCAATGCCCACATCCCATGACGTAATATTTTAAAAAATTTTTTGGTTACTCACTTGCTGCCACCTGGTTATCCTTGGCACTGACGGACTAGTATCAGCCAGGCCTGAAGTCCTCCTGCTGGGGCGGCCTGGTGGCTCAGTGGGTTAGCACTGCTGCCTCACAGTGCCAGGGCTCCAAGTTTGATTCCACCCTCAGGCAACTGTCTGTGTGGAGTTTGCACGTTCACCCCATGTCTACATGAGTTTCCTCTAGGTGCTCCGGTTTCCTCCCATGGTCCAAAGATGTGCACGATAGATGGATTGGCCATGTTAAATTGTCCATGGTGTTGAGGGATGTGTAGGTTATAGGGGAATGGGCCTGGGTGGGATGCTCTGAGGGTCAGTGCAGACTTGTTGGGCCAAAGGGCCTGTTCCCACATTGTAGGGATTCTACAATTGACTGTGTACCAGTTTAGTTACCGATTCATGGGTTTGCTTTGGGCAGCTCATGTATACAAAGGCGAGTGTCCCATACACTGACACTTTTTCTTCCGATACATCCTTAAGGGTACTGGGAAGTAAACGGATTTGGACTGTTTGGTATCTTTAAAAGCGATTTTGACAAGATTGGAGGAATGAACACGGAGGAGTTCCGGGATCGATGGGGCGGAGAGGATTGGGAGCTACTGGACAGGTAACATTGGCAGAGAAAATACGTTTGCTTCTTCTATTTTGTGCTGTCTTTGATACTTTTCACCTTGTGTTGGATTGTGCCATTGCCTTTCGAATTCAATAGAACAAACTGTCACTTTCTAGGGACCTAACGCTAGGACGAAGAAAGAGTTTGGAGAATGTTCCTTCTGTGGCTGCACTATTGATGTAGACAGGCACTTCCACAGCCATAAAGTAGTGACACGGGAATGTCTGTGTATATTATTTTAAGTGGATTTTCAGAGGGCATTCAGTAAGGTCCCAGATAAGAGATTGTTTGCTAAAAGGTGAAACTTGGAATTGAAGGCAAATTATTGACTTCATTGGGAAATTGCTTGCAATACTAGGCAGGAAATCTGATTGGAAGTGACTACAGACATCTGTCTCAACTTTTCACGACATTCATTAACTGCTTAGATAAAAGCCACATATCCACATTCTGGTCGTCCTTCTATAGCAGAGATGTTGTTAAACTTGACAGGCGACAGAAAAGATTTACAAGGATGTTGCTGGAATTGGAAGGTTGGAATTATAGGGAGAGGCAGAATATGCTGGGGCTTTTTCTCCCCTGGAATATCGGAGATTGAGGGGTGACGTTGTAAAGGTTTGTAAAATTGGATGGGGTGAATAGCCAAGGTCTTTTTACTAGGGTCAGGGAGTTCAAAATCAGAGGGCATAGATTTAAAGGGAGAGGGGAAAGATTAAAAAAAGGACCTGAGGGGTAACTTTTTCACACAGAGGGTGGTGCGTGTATGGAACAAGCTGCCAGAGGAAGTGGAGGAATCTGGTACAATTGCAACATTTAAAATGCATTTGGATGGCTTTATGAATAGGAAGGGTTTAGAGAGATATGGGCTAAATGCTGGCAAATGGAACTAATCAGATTGGAATATCTGGTTGGTGCAGATCAGTTGGACTGAAGGGTCTGTTTCTGTGCTACATGACTCTAGATATAAGGGTACACTCACAGATACAATGGGATACCTCCTTTAATGGTAAAGAACCAGCAAAAATGAAGAGCCACAGAAACTTAGGGATACATCATGGAATGCTGATCTAGAAATTTGAACACAACAGGGTAAGACACTATGCTACAGTGATGCAAAGCCCTGGACCTCAAGTACAGTGTTTAGTTCTGGGGCACAACACCTTACAAAAGGATATACTGGCATCAGAAGGAATGTACTACAGATTTACCAGAGGCTAAATTATGAGCACTGCAAGTTCGCTTCAACTTAGAAAATCAAGAGGCGACCTGATTAGTGTTTTGAAAATTTTTACAGGAACTGATAAAATAGATTAGAGTGAAATTATTTCTGCTCATTGGGCACTCTAGCATAAGGTGGAGAGCCTGAAGGTTAGAGCTAAGTTATTCAGGTGTAAAACTGAGAAGTTGCTTGTCATGAAAACTTGGGGATGAGATTGGAGTTTTTAATTTGTAAGTAGAAGATGATTTTGTAGTGATTGCTAGATTTTCATTCAAAGAGATAAAGGTATGTAGGGACAAGGCAGATGTAGGGAGTTAGCTCACATATCAGCCAGGATCTCATTACTGACATACCAGGCTTTAAGAGACAAATAGTCACCTCTTTTCTCGATGTTTCTATGATTATTTGCTTTGTTACTTGGTGACCTGAGGCTGTTGGTAGAAGCAACAAGAGAGGCATCATTCTCCAAAGTGAGAGAGAGGGACAGAGTGTAGGCCAGCACTGTCAGAAGAAAGAGGAAGAGTGGATGAGCAGTGCCGAGAGAGAGAGTTTTTTTGTGGAGGTGTAGTAGCATTAAAAGGTGGAAAGGGGGCAGTACTGTCCAGAGGGTGATAAAGAGCTCGCAGTGTCCAGAAAGAGACACGGGTGGAGAGAGTGGACTCAATGAGAGGGGAATGGCCTGGGGCATTAATTGTGGGCCAGCAAAGGCCTAGTTTAACAGTCAACAAGAACGAACAGTAGTGTTGGCACAGGAAGAGAGAACACGGTTTAAATGTGGCTGAGAGAGCGTGTGTGGGGTCGGGGTTTGATCCCGAGACTGGAAGATAGTACGAGACAAGAGAGAATGACAGTGTACCAGAGAGGGAGAAGGGCAGCAGAAGAATGTAAACATACAAACGGTGGTTGGGTGGGGGGGATAGACAGCATGAGCAATTGCTGAGTAGACCCTCCACTAAATGAAAGAAATCTGGAGATATATTCTAAAGATAGTGCAACAAAATAGGACATTTTAAAAGTGAGGCTATGGTGAGAGCATTGTAGGGAGTAGTGCCATTTAAAAATTCTAAATGCCTTGGGCATCACCGCTCGTCCGCAATGGAGCAATGGTGAGTCAAATTAATTCCAAACACAGAGTGAAACCCTTTGTGTTTCTGTCCCCCAGGGTACTTCAGAGTGGCCTGGAGGTTGAACGATTGCGCCTCAGGAACTTCTATCATTATTTTCACTCCAAGCGAGGGATGTGGGATTCTCAGGCCAAGAAAACCACAAAGGAACCGAATGAGGGTTGAAACTTTGTCTATGCACTTTAAGGAAAAGAACATAAACCAGCAGACATGTGCTCCACAGGAGAACCAGCCGATTACCGAGCCACATGGGAGCCATTCCCTTTTGAAGGATGTGTTTGTCCTTTTTGACTCCACACATGGAATTTCTCTCTCCAAACCCTGCTGTTCCGTTTCTCAGCCGTCACAAAAGTTGAGTAGTTGTGGAATAACCGAAACACAAAAGAACTGGACAAAAGCCAAGTAGAATACAAACAAGGACCACAAGTCAGTATATTGGAATCTTTTCAAATTGTGACATTTGTGAAATATCCTTAGACATCTTGGTGTCACTCTTCATCAAATATTTGACCCTGTTGACCCAGCTCTGTGATCCAGTCGGTTGTTGCTGTTTTCACCATTGATCACAAGCTTCGGAATATTAGTTTTCCCAGGTTTCTATTTTGGTGCATAATATATTGGATTATAAGTATTCACAGCTGGTTCTTGCTGAGCAAATGACATCCCTCTCCATCACCGGCCTTTCAGCATAAGCTCAATGTAATAAAAAAAAATACACACACACACATACACACACATGCTCATTCTCACACTTGACATCTTGGACCAAACTTGTTCGGAATGTTCACTCGAACAACAGTGACGCCAACTGCCCCAGGGTTTTCCGGATCCCGTTCCGACATGTTGCCTGTTGGTTTAAGTGGACTCTGTCCTTCAAAAAGGCAGTGCGTGTACTCATTGAAGCTAGCTACTTCGAGTCTGACCTAATGAAGCCTTATTCTGACGGTGGCCCCTGGTCTGGAGAGGGATAATTTTGGTTATTACAAAGGCGCATTTCAGAAGCCAAGCTGAATCTTTGGTCTCAACAAGGATACATAGACACGTTACTGAATGTGTGTTGGTAATCACACCCTTTGAGCTGTTTTCTGCTGTAACATGCAAAGAAAGAGTAGACTCAAGCAAAGGACTGATGCCAAAGACTTTTTTGTCAAAAGCTGGATCGGTTCTACATGATTTTAAAGACAGTATCGCAGCTTCTGCGCGTGATACACCATCTCACTTGACTCTGACCAATCTTACAAAAAGCAACTTTGTCTTATATTTTTTTCCTTACCTTGAAAATCAAACATGGAGTAGAGGCACAGGGTGTTGAGGGGAATTTGAAGTTTTCAGGACTAATTTATGGAATTGAATCTTAATTAAATATTTAAACTGAATCGTTAGGACTACATGTTACACTAGTTGTGTTGAGAATTGGTGATGCCTTTTAGGATGTTCTTAGAATGATGTGTTCTGAATTTATAAAATGGAAAATCAGTTTTAATCCACACTGCTAGCTAGGAATGTTGCTGTTTGATATCATCATCGGGAGGATTAAATGTTTACAAAAATACTCCAAGTGGCAGAATTGCTTTTGTTATTAAGTATTCTGGATGAAGGATTTTTAATAAAAAAATATTATTTATTCAGATGACAGTCCTCCAATTGAATTGGTAAAATATTTGAAATTCTGTCGATTGTCACTGGCAAACAAACAGTCAGTGACAAACTATAATCGGATTTCATAATTGACCATGTTGAATTTGAAAAGAAGTCGCTCTTTAGTCTTTATGTTTTTAAATGGCTGACAGCTAGTCTTAAGAAATAATATTGGCCTTCCCCATGCATCTGGATGTTGAGCTTGATGCTCCTAGGTGCCGGTTATAGTCGGGTGTTGGTAGGACACTAAAATTGGCCTGTGTATGTGCAACTAGTTTTGAATAAAATTGAAAAGCAAACATGCCTTTTACAAACTCGCCGTTTTGTCTTCATTCCAGTTCAGTGAATCAATTGTCGACCAACCTCCACGGGGTCAAGAGGGCTTTGAGATGGCACAGCTGCAAATACTGCAGCCTCAGAACCAAGTCAGCCCTCTGGCTAAGACTCGGTCATACAGCATGGAAACACACCCTTCAGTCCAGCTCATCCATGCCAGCCAGGTTTCCTAAACTGAACTAGTCCCATTCGCCTGTATTTGGCTCATGTCCTTCTAAACCTTTCCTAACCATGTACCTGTCCAAATGGTCTTTTAGATGTTGTAATTGTAGTCACCTTTACCACTTCTGCTGGTAGCTTGTTCTATACGTGCACCACCCTCTGCGTGAAAACGTTGGCCCTTGCGCCCCTTTTAAGTCTTTCCCCTCTCACCTTAAACCTATATCCTTGAGTTTTGGACTCCGCTACCCTGGGCAAAAGACCTTATCTGTGATTTTATAAATCTCTAAGTTCCACCCCTCAGGCTCCTACGCTCCAGGGGTTTTAAAAACAAGTCCCAGCCTCTCCTTATAACTCAAACTGTCTAGTCTTGGTAACATCCTTGCAAGTTTTTTCTGCACCCTTTGTGGGCTAATAACGTCCTTCTCATAAGCAGGGCACCAGAACTGTACACAGTGTGACCTTACCAATGTCTTGTACCATCCCAACTCCTGCACTCAACGCTCTGACCGATTAAAGGTAAGTGTGCCAAATGCCTCCTTCACCACCCTGTCTGCCTGTGACGCTGCTTTCAAGGGACTATGTACCTGCACCCCGAGGTGTCTCTGTTTGACAACGCTCCCCAGGGCCCTACCACTAATTGTGCAAGTCCTGCCCTGGTTTGCCTTACATGCAACACCTCACATATATCTAAATTAAACTCCATCTGCCATTCCCCTGCCCACTGGCCCAGTTGACCAAGATCCCATTGTGCTCTTAGATAACCTTCTTCACTGTCCACCACACCACCAACTTTGGTGTCATCCGAAAACTTACTAATCATACCTTATATAAACAATTTGGATGAGAATATAGAATGACGAACAGTGGATCCAGCACCTATCCTTGCAGCATACCACTGGTCACAGGCCTCTAGTCTGTAAAACAACCCTCTACAACCACCCTCCGTCTCCTACGATCAAGCCAATTTTGTATCCAACTGGCTAGCTCTTCCTTTCCCATATGATATAACCTTACTAATTAGTCTAACATGTAGTACCTTGTCAAAAGCCTTGCTAAAGTCCATGTAGACGACATCTACATTCCACCTTCATTAATCTTCTTTGTCACCGCTTCAAAAAACTCAATCAAATTAGTGAGACACGATTTTCCATGCGCAGTCATGTTGACTATCCCTAATCAGTCCAAGCCTTTCTAAATTCATGTAGATCCTGCCTCAGAATCTGCACCAACCATTTACCGATCTCTGACATCAAGCTCAATGGTCTGTAGTTCCTTGGCTTTTCCTTGCAATCTTTCTTAAACAAAGGCACAACATTAAGCAACCTCCAGTCATCTGGCACCTTACCCATGGCTGTTGATAACACAAGCATCTCTGCTAGGGGCCCTGCAATTTCTTCCCTAGCTTCCCACAATGTCCTATGACACACTTGATCAGGCCCTGGGGATTTATCTACCTTTATGCATTTTACGACTCCCAGCAACTCCTTTTATGTAATGTAGACTATTTTCAAGACATCACTATTTATTTCCCCAAGTTCCCTTGCTTCCATATCTTTGTCCACAGTAAATATTGGTGAGAAATATTTGTTTAGGATCTCACTCATCTCCTGTGGTTCCACACACAGACAGCCTCATTTAAGGGACCCTATCCTCTCCCTCGTTACTCTTTTGGCCTTAAATATATCTGTAGAATCTCTTTGGATTCTTCTTAACCTCATCTGCCTATCTCGTGTCTGCTTTTTGCTCTCCTGATGTACTCCTCCACCTCCTATACTCCTCAAGGCCACTTGATCCTAGCTGCCTATACCAGAGATATGCCCCCTCCTTTTTCTTGACCAGAACCTTAATATCTCTAGTCATCCAGTGTTCCCTACTCCCGCCAGCCTTGTCCTTCACTCTTACAGCAACACACTGGCCTTGGACTCTCGATTATCAATGACTCAAATTTTCATTACCCAGGGCTGCAGGTCGGTAGTGTGTTAAGATTTCAGTTGATGAACTGACTGCCCAGTTTAGCTAACTAATGACCCCTGGAAAGGTAGACCTGTGATTATTTTCCAATTGGTTCCAATTAACTCTACAAATAGACCCATTTACAGACAAGCTAGTCCTGTCTGAACAAGCAGTGAGAGCTAATCAGTGCCCTATACTGGCCACCTTCCACTTTAGCTGGTTAAATAAGACCATAAGAAATAGGAGCAGGAGCAGGCTATTTGGCCCCTTGTGTCTGCTCCACCATTTAATACGATCATGGCTGATCCAACATTACTCACGTCCACTTTCCTGCATAGTCCCTGTAACCCTTGATTCTATCTATCTCAGCCTTAAATATACATAAGGACTCTGCCCCCACAGCTCTCTATGGCAAGGAGTTCCAAAGCCTCAGAAGAAATTTCTCCTCATCTCAGTCTTAGATTGGCTCTCCTTTATTCTGACGCTATCCCATCTGATTCTAGACTCTATGAGGGGAACCATCCTACTCTTTCAAGCCCCTTTAAGAATCGTATATGTTTCAATGAGATCACCTCATATTATTTTAAACTATACTGAGTAGAGTCCAAACCTGTTTGGCCTTTGTGCATAAGTCAATCCCTCCATACCAGGGATCATCCTAGTGAACCTTCTCTGAACTGTCTCCAATGAAATAATATCTTTCCCAAATAAGGAGACCAAAACTGCTCTGATGTACTCCAGATGTGATCTCACCAGCACCTTGTACAGTCGCAGTAAGACTCCCTTGAAATAAGGGCCAGCATTCTATAAGCCTTCCTGATTACCTGCTGCACCTGTGTGCTGGCTTTGTGTGTTTTGTGCGTAAGTCCCTTTGTGCTGCAGTTTTCTGCAGTATTGTCCATTTAAATAATATTCTGTTCTTTTGTTTATCCCTCCAAAATGAACACCATCACATTTTCCCACATTATTCTGCCTTTGCCAATTTTTTGTCCACTTACTTAACCCATCAATACTTCTCTGTAAACTGTTTATATCCCTGTCTCAACCTACGCTTCCACCTATTTTTGTGGTTTATACAAATTTGGCAACAGTACATTTATTCACCTTCTTTCTCCAAGTCATAAACATATACTGTAAACTGTTGTGGTCCCAGCAATAATCCCTGTGGAACCCCACTGGTATAGGTTACCAACCTAAAAACGAACCCCTTATCACCACACACTGTTTCCTGCCCATTAGCCAATTCTCTATCCATGCCAATATACGACCTCTAACACAGTGGGTTCTTATGACAACTTTTTGAGAGGTACCTTGCCGAATGTCTTCTGGAAGTCCAAATACAACACATCTGCTGGTTCCCCTCTATTCACTCTGGTTGAGACTTCCTCCAAATCTAATAAATTAGCCAGACACGATTTCCTTCTCATGAAGCCATGCTGAAAACTCTGCTTGATTAGATTAGATGATGATTATCCTGTGCCCTTCCCTTGCGAGTAGTTATGGATTCACAGAGCTTGGTTTGGTCATTTTATATCTCGGCTCTCCATGCTGAGCTAGTGGTGGATATTCCCTACAAAAAGGAATGCGGATCAAATAGGTGGCTTTTAACCCTACTCACCCGACAGAAACCAGGCCAGTTCACACTTGTGAGGTACTCAGCTTTGCTGCCTCCTGTAATTATATCATTGGGTTACATTATGACAGACAGAACTCCGCTGGCATTTTAACCAGACTGGGTGGGTGTGACTTTCTTGACCAGCTGGGTCTGAGAAAGTGTAACAGCTGCATTCAGATAATCTGCACAATTTCCCTTGTGTGGCCATGGAAGACATGAACTTAGATCACATAGTGGCAGGGAATCTCAAGATACACCTATCACCTCAGTTTCAAAGTCAATCTGCTTTCCATGTACATTGTGATAATACTTCACCCAACCTTTCCTCAGCTCCCATTATGTCGCTCGAGCATTGACTTGTGGATCAGTAAAAGGCAAAGCCCTTGTCTTTTTTATGAACCAAGGCCATCTCCACGACACTGCTCCTGACGCTTCCATTCACATCGTTGTCACTTCCAGGACTTCCTTAATATTAATCACCTCATCTAAAATCTCCAATACCCAGTTCAAATGTTGCTGCAAGCCTTGATCACTGACTATTTCTGGAGTCACTGGATTCCCATATCTCTTGTCATGTTACATCCCACATTTACATCCAAATATACAAATCCACCAATTTCTGAACAGCCTCAACTTCTCAAATCTCTTCCAATGCTACATCCAAGCATTTTGCTTCCATTCTTCCAACCCTGACCTTCTTCAAATCTACTTTTTCTCCACTTCACCTCCAGACTTCCATTCCATTTTGAGAGGTGAAATGACAGGGTCTCCAATAGTTGGCCAGCATTTTGTGTCCATTTTTTTAATGTCAACTGGCAATGTTCACAATAACGCAGGGAAATCGCTATTTTAGTTCACAAGGTTACGAGTGACATTTCTTACCATCGTTCTTCAGGAAGGCAAGCGATATCTACTTTGGGTTGAGGAGGCTCGGAGATAGATGCATCTATGAACGTAATCTCAGGTCGAGCCAATCCTCTGTTGTGGACTTGGGCCAGATTTCAGGCAACTGTTCATGGCAGGGGCCAGGGTGGGTCAGGCCTACTTAACCTCAGGAGAGCCGCCACTGATGGGAGAACCACCCTGGATTAGGATGGCAGGCAAGAGAGCCTGTTGTGGCTACCACCAGTGGATGCCAATTCAGATCATTAGTGAGCCACTTGACATTCATGGAGACCACCACAGTTTCGTCGTGCCTCGGTGATTTAACAGGAATGTCCCCACACAGCTTTCGTGCCTCACCAAGGG